TTTGCCAGATGTCCAACCTTACGATATGACGTTTTACAGCTGACAATTTTAACTATAACATATTGGTAGCGCCATTGTTTGTCAAACGGCGGAAACTTATTTATACTCCCAATATATTTTCATTTCCCATCGACTATCCATAACATAAGTTTTTACTTTTCTGACAAATTCTAATGTATGTATTTTATGTATGTACTGTTCAGTTTAATTACCAAGACAAAGGCTCGTCTTTTTCTTTTAATTTGGTTTTTAAATTATTGAGCCATTATACTATTATATAATTGTAATTATAATATTAATTTGTCTCTGATGGCTAAAAAATGAACCGAAACATGTAAGCGGGTTATCTAATAGTTTTGTGTCATGTTCATATTATTTGTTTTGCGCAACAATTATCGCGCCTGACTCCTATTACCCAATTTCTTTGTGATTATTAATGAGTTCTTTGCGAATCAACTTATGATTATTTGGTATGAAATTTAACTTGGCACCAATTATTGATATCAAATTTTTTTACAAATGATACATAAAATTTTGTGGAATTTAACTTGGCGCCAGTTTTGTTGATATCAAATATTTTATACGAATATATAGTATATAATTAGAATTAAATAAATAAAAAGATAGTACCATTTGGATTTTACTTTTTAATTTGATAGAATTTACCTTGATTAAGATAGCATCTGGATTTTAATTTTTCATTTAATATATTAGTTTTTTCCGAGAAGTAATTTTTGACAGAGAATTAAAGTTGTTATTACTTGAGTTGAACACTTTTATTTGAGAAGCACGTATATTTTTAGCGTCTTTTCTTACCTTTTTTAAAAAGGTAAGTTTGTTTTTTAATACCGTATTTTTTCATGTTGATGAAAATAGTTGCCAATCAGAAAATGCAGTACTAAAAAGATGCTTAAAAAATTCTGAAAAATTCTTGGAGTTTTATGAGAAGAAAATAAACAATTTTTGTCTCTTGCTGTTTTTCTGTAAAGTTGATTTGAGTAAAAAATTATTGAAGATCAATATTCGGAAGTTTTTAGTAATTAATATCTCATTAACTATTGCGAAAATTACAAAATGGGAGAGGACTTTTCGACTTCAGTCCATTTTACTGCTATGCGAGAAGTTTATTGTTAATTGTCAGACTCTGTATAATATACCTCTTTTATATAGAGAGTATCCTAATGGTAAATATTTTAAAAACAAATTCGTAGTAATATTTTAAAATAAAGAGTCTAATACGAAAATGCCGAGGCATAGTTTTTAAACAGAAAAGTTCAAAAATTATGATAGGACTAGAATTTCGAGCACTCGTGACAAGATCAGTGTGCAAGTGCTGAATTTTGTTATTATCATAGGAATAAAATTCGAAGAATTTTCGTACTGACTATCTTATCATTCCTAAGCGTGCAAAATTCTAATCCTGTTACAATTTCTAATTTTTTAACTTTTATTATTTGAAAATTATCTTAGCCTCGACACTTTTGTATTAGACGATTTAAAATGTAAAGAATATTTTTCTTTTTTAAATATTTATCGTCGGCTCTTGTTTTCTCCTTTTATCTGAAATTAGATCTAAAATTTTATGTCCATAATTTGATAGGTCTGTGACGGAACTAATGTATGTACACTTTTGGAACTTAAAATGAGAAAAGTTTATGTCTGATATTTGTCGAAAGCGAGAAAGAGAATTTTAGTGCAGTATAGTGGAGGGGAACAGAAAACAGACCATTGAAATCGCTAAGATCTCGAGGACTGAGAAAAAAAATTAACAAATCACATTGAGCAATTTGACCAGTTGATCAATGCGGTCTTAATTTTTTCTCCATCCAAGATCTCGAAGCGATGTTCTAGAACTTCTAGTTCGAATACAACCTTCATTCTCAAATAATCTAAATTCTAAAGCATTTCTGGAAAATTTAAAATATAGCAATATAATATACCTAGTATAGGACCGTATATATGATAACACAAACTATAGAATCAAAATGATATAGCTGGATTTTGATGCTTGTATGATTCTTGTTTGAATTTATATACTACGTATGTAATCTCCGCGCCAAAAATGATTTTTCGATCTTGAAACACTAACTTTACTAAACTACCGCAGTAATATCACGAGTTAAATTGACTAACAATTTAACAAATTTTTTATGCTTATTCACATCTTCGAAACGATCTTAATAATGTTGAATAATATATTGAAATTTGTAAATAATTAATTCTTATTGTGAAAAATATTACCTCGGCCGAGAGTCGAACTCGGATCTCTTGCATTCCGTGCGAACGTTCTAAAGCTCTAAGCTTTAAACTACCAAGGTCTTAGTAATAATATTTTTCGCAATAATTTAAAATAAAGTTTCGAAATTAATCCAATTCGATCTGTTGTCGATCCCAAGCATTATTATAAACTTTTTCTCATCTTTTGTTATTAGTATTGCGACGTCTTAGTAGCAGAAATACAGGAAATGTTGGCGAAGCTCCCTGACCCTTTACCAGGTATAAGATGTCACGAAAAGAGAGGATATCTGCCAACTGATTTTGACGTACAGTGCAGAGAAATTTTAAATAAACAAGTACGGGCTGTTTTGAGAAAAAGGATGAATATTCCTGAGGATCGTACGTATCAATGTCAGTATGTTAAAGACAAATTTATTGATAATAAAAGAACTTATATTTTTATTACAGATCCAACAACGCTTCCACGAAAACGGAAATATGGTATTAAATTAAAATATAATAAAATGATTAATAAAAAAACCAAAAAGAATACCACAAATACTACGGAAATTTAGGCTAATATTACGTTTATTTCGAAATTAACAACTGAACATGATTAATATTGAAAGTTATAAAGCTTGAATTTAAGCAATTAAAGTTATAATTATGTAAAAAAAATTTCTGAAATTGTATGCTCCTTTAAAAATATTAAAATATAATATCTCAATACGTATCATTTGTTTATAAAACATTAGTCCCCGAAAAGATGTATTATTTCTGATTTAATTCTAACAAGGAGATTCACATATGTATTTTGATCAGTTTTACGGATTTTGATCAGTTTTTGCATGGTTATTTTGGTGCTCCAAAAAATATTCCTTGTAAAGCAGTAAATTGCAGCTCTGCGTATTTTTCGAGAAAATCGTGATTTTAGATCATGACAATGGGATTGCGTAAACCGGGGGGAATCGATAGATATTTAAAATAACAACTAATTTTTATGTATATACTGCTAAAAAAATTATTGCATAGAAAATTTGTGGGTAAAAATTGGCCAACTTTGACTAACGATAACTTTGCGAAAAATTATCGTAGGATAACGTTTTTTTTTCTTTAATTAAAACTTGAAGTCTCTACTTTAAGACGCTATGGCCACATTTTAAGTTTGATACACTTCTGCTACTGTAACTCTCAAAAATATGAGGGTGTGTTTGTTATATTAAAATTATAAAGTTTGACAGAATGCATGGACTTTGTAAAATTTGTTTAGGGAATGCCGTTTGCAGCGATATAAAGTTCAAACTTTCCTCTTTAATTAAAAAAAAAAAAACGAGTCGCTGTGATTTTTTTTGCAAAGTTACATACAACACTTTAAAGTTATTTTTACATTTTTGGCATATATTACCGACATTACCTGTATTACCGAATATGCATCATAATGAGGTTGCTGGATGGATTTTGCACGTTTTTGATTTGTACTAGTAGTAGTAGTTTATTACGTGCTCACCAACGTGATTACACGGACTTCCATTATATACAATACATCTTAAATATACATATACATTTCTTGCTTACTTTATATTAAGCATTTACCTCATCTACCTTTACGCATACATCTACAAATTCATACTCACTTTCCTACTCATTTACATTTTATGTTTCTCACTCACTCATGTCGGGCTCATTCACTCTCTCTCTCTCTCTCTCTCTCTCTCTCTCTCTCTCTATATATATATATATATATA